TCAACATCAGAAAACGGGAGAATCGTCGTGAACAGATTCGTGGGTACCAAAACCAGGATTATCATACCAAAAAACACTTGCGACGGAAAAAAAAGCGATTGTTGTTCGTGACAAAAAATCGTAAAGTAGTCGTTGAATCAAAGACGTTTGAAGGTATATTCATGTTTATTTAACTTTGTTGTTTGGTGATGGAAACGTATTTGTTGGTTTTTTGTTTTGTTTTGTTTTTTTTTTTAAATTTCAGATTTCGTTTTTTTAATACATTCTCCATAATCTGTTTTTTTTTTCGTGAAATTTCAAATTTCTGTTTTATTTTTAATACATACTCCATTATATGTTTGTTTCATTGTGTTTATTTTTTTAACCTCAAGCGAATATGTTTATTTTTCTGGAACATGAATGATGTTAATGTGTTTTTACATCATAATGGAGTATGGATCAACAATGAATACGTGAACTATGATGTCGGAGGTATTTTGATTAGTTCATCATGTAACTACAATCAGCTCCGAGATATTGTTTTTGATAAACTGAAGGTAAACGCGTATTCAAATGATCTGGGGATGAAATATCAAGTGAAAGATGGATATCCAGCTATGAGTGTGGATGATGATAGCAGCCTACATTTTTATTTGTCATTGAAATCGAAGGAGTGTGATTACACAAAGTTACCCTTGTGTGTGGTTTTAAAAAAAAATAATAAACGTCCCCTCACCCGTTCGAGGCATAATGCCAACGTCTACATATTCGTCTGTATGTGATATAGAAGGGCTAAAATGTCTTGAGCCGGCCAGGGGAAACTCTGAAAGAGATGAATTTTATAGAGCATTTGCGGAACATGCTGCAGATACCATGTTGGAAGCAGTTACGTCTACGGAAGATAAACAGGAGATAAACAACTCCAGAACACTTGAATGCTGTGTCGATGGAAGTATGATTTGGGATGTTTTGGTCGGCCAATCTTTCAGAGATAAAAATGAAGTGATCAAGTTGCTCAGCC